TTCACTTCCTCACGACTTTGCCTACGATTCTACCCATCATTTTCTTCACAACCTTCATCTGCTACTCGTAATCAGTCTCGTATCACTTTCTTCTACTCTCAACTCCGATTTGCAGAGGGTATCTGAGGTGGGCACCCAACATTTAGTTCAATTTGATGCCTCCAAGACACAGTTTTGGGCTATCTCTTTATTATCTTCTCCTCCTGATATCCCTATGATCTTTGAAACTGAGAAAATTTACCCCTTTATTCTATTAACATATTTGGAATCCAGATAGCCTCTAACTTGTCTTGGAGGAGTCACATAATCCAATTTTCTAAATATGCATCCAAAAAATTGGGGGGCTATCTCGTTTTTATCATTACTTTTCCTTTTTGCAGTTACTTGAAATCTATAAAGGTCTTCTTCGTCCATGCTAAGAATCCTGCTCGCACATCTGGGGTACCTCCTCATATACTTATCTTCTTGATAGGGTTGAATATAAGGCATCAGACTCATTAAGGGGAGTGGCCGGTTGGAAGGGTTTGAGGTGAAAATATAACTCAGGGGAAAAAATTCCAGGCAGAGCTACACCATTTGCCATCACTCTAAGAAAGTTTCACACCAATATTGACTATATCTGCCGAGTTATGGCTTGAAATATCACCCCCTACTCTGTGTATTTTTTCATCTTGCACGGTGGTTTGCTGAAGGTACCTGCTCACAAGACCAATACCCTCCTTGCTTACTTGTCTATCACTGAGGACTATGGATTGGCAGGGGTGAAAAGACTACAAGGAGCCTTGGAATGAAGCCAATGGGAAACTCCAAGTATTATAGGTATCTCTTGCATATGTACGATGTAATGGCTGCCCAGTACTAGGAAAAACAAGAGAATATATATGAAGCAGTATGCAAGTTCTATGCACAGCACATCTGCAATGCTCCTGATGCCAGAGGTAACCTCAGCATTGATATATCCTCAGCATTGATATCTTTTATGATGGAACATGCATGAAATGAAGTCACACCTCCAAAGTGGGAATGGGTGTCATCATCGAAGTCATGACCGCATTTGTAATTTATTTCCAAGTATTCTTAAGTTCTGTCAAGCCTGCATATCAAAGGAGATTGAACTGGATAAAAATAAGATTACTAAACATGAATATATGAAGATGAAACAAGGACATACTACACAATATGCAAAAAATTATGAAGGTACATCAGCTGGCATGGAGGCAGAGGCTGCAGTAGCGCTGTTTGGAAGATCAGAAAAACTGAAGTTTTGTTATGTCAGCTTCGTGGGAGATGGAGATTCCAGCGCCTATATTGCAGTTACTGCAATGAATAAGGGAAATGATCTCTATCAAGACCATCAAGGAAAAAAAATAGATTGCATAAATCACGTCCAAATGAGAATGGTGACAATACTTAGGTAGCTTCGAGATGAAAAGAAGATTCATGTAACAACAAAGTCAGGCAGCAGAATGAGACGAAGCCTTCTAGGAAGAAAAAAAAAACAAGTTGTCTGACAAGCACATAATTACTCTCACCAAATACTATGGAAAGTTCATGAGATCGAATGTTGGAAAATCATTCTTGGAGATGAAGGATATGATGTGCTCATTTCAGCATGTCTTCAAGCACTCAAGAGCAGCCTTGCCATGGCTTGTGTCCAGCTGGGAGAGAGTCATGGTGCTTCTACCAACACATTCCTGCAGAAGGCGTACCTCATGAAGATATGCAACACATCTCTAATCATCAGTGTGTCTAAAGAAGCTAAAAAGAAGATAAAATATAATTTGAATCCTTATCCATAGAAAATCTGCTGGAGAGATGTGTTAGAGAACTAACACAAAATGCTAGTAAAAGTTTTCATGCAAAGATGTGGGCTCGAGCCCATAAAACAAAGTTAGCTGGTCTTTTCAAGACTTGCCTTTGTTGCATCCACAGCTGTGCTGAATCAGAAATTTGGATATTGGAAGGCATCCCTCCTCACTGCAATGAGCTGGCTCAAAATGTCACTTGCAAACTTTGGATCTTCAGGACACTGACCGCAGGAGACACGTAACGAGTAAAAGAGGTAACTGCCCAAGAAGGAAAATACAACAGGATATGCTCTAGTCATATACTGAAGAAAATCTGGCAACAAAGAGGAGCTTCGGTAACTCTGACACCCTCTCGAAAGAGATAATATTCCAAAAGGTCGGGACCAGGAGCCTGATATAAACATAACTTTCTAACAATAAGCGAGTCCTGCATGTTTGTAATAAGGAGAAACTGTAAATACTTATCTGCTATGAAAAGGGGATAGAAAAATGTATCTAATAATATACAGAAATCGAGATTATAGACCAGGAAAGCAGTCTTGAAAAGTATTCAAAACTTAAACAGGTACATATCTCAGTACATGATTTCTTCACCTTTGAAATCTATCTGCTCAATCATTTATACATCGATTTGAATGAAACAAAAACTCAACAAAAGGATAAGTCCAATATTTTAATGTAGCAACGCAGTATTTTCAAAATTAATGGCAGAAAGATTTAAAAAATATTTTTTTCAGCAATTTCTTCAAATATTTTGGCAACTCGAAGAAAAAAAATATTATTTTCGACAAATGAAACCAGATATTATAAAAATGGGGTTGTTACACCAAAGACCTTATTATGACCATTTTTTCATGTGAAACACATGACTACAATACAAATTGGCTTCGCATTCACGAGGTCGAAAGATCGGTTCCCGTCCAAGACCGAGAGTTTAAGCGGTTTACTGACAGGTTACTGCTGTAGCTGGGCAGCACAGTGGGGGGTTGGGGCTTGCCCCGGCTGACGAATACCCATTGTGTAATGGAAATAAAGGTTCATTATTATTATTATTATTATTATTATTATTATTATTATTATTATTATTATTATTATTATTATTATTATTATTATTATTATTATTATTATTAATATTATTATTATTATTATTGTTATTATTATTATTACCTATTTAGTGGTCTTGACTTTCCATAATATTTTCATCTCAATACAAAGTAATATAAAACCGGCAGCTCCCCTTAAAGACCATTCTATTTCTTTTAATCTGGATTCTCTTTCTCTTCGCCGTATCATTCCTTTCTCTTTTCTATAGTACTATTTCCATCGCTGCTTTGATGAGTCGGCAAGTTGCATCTCTCCCCCACTGTTGAGGCCGTGTAACACTCGCCAAGCTGCCTCGTCTCACAGGTACAATGTCGATATTTGTAGCTCATGTGTTGGTAGGCACAGCGACTGCTTCTCCCCATCTACCTCCAGCCTATGAAATTCTTCGTCCTTCCAACTCTCCTAATTCTTATAACTTATCTCTTTTTCAAAACCGGATGTATCGTCATCTCAGGGCCTAATTCTGCCATATCTATGTCCTCAATATTTCGACTATTCTTTCAACCTTTCCTTTTCCTATTGTGTACCATTGCCTCATCTATCTTGTCCTTAACCATTTACTTTTTCTTCGTCTTCCTGTTTTCTTCATGCCCAAGCCATTATTGATGAGGGCAATTTTCTTGCCTGTTCCTGTGTCACACTCCTTAAAAAATATATTCGCAGCAAATTTTGCATACAATTCACATGAGTGCTAACATACAATCCTCACGAATGTTGTAGAGTTGATATAGGTGCCAGTATATATGCCTTGCGAATGTTGTATAGACTTAGTATAATACCAACATATATTCCCCACGAATGTTATATACAGTTACATCTGTATTATCATATGTCCCTTACGATTGTTGTATAGAATTTAAGTCACTGACTATATATATATATATATATATATATATATATATATATATATATATATATATATATATATATATATATATATATATATATATATATATATATGTCAAGAATATTGAATAGTATGCAACAGTGCCAACTTATATTCCTGACCAATGTCATACAGAGTTCACATCAGAGCTAACATATGCTCCCCACGAATGTTGTGTAGAATTTACATCAGTGCCAACATATTCTCTTACATGTTTTTAAGAGCGTTTATATCTATTCCAACTTATATTCCCCACGAATATTGTATGTTAAATGTTGTATAGAGTTTCTATCCGTGCCAACATATGCTTCCCACGTATGTTTTGTAATATAAGTCCGTGTCAACATATTCTCTCTCGCATGTTTTACGATTGCTGTATAAGGTTGACTTCAATGTGAGCAAATAATTCTTACCAATGTTGGAGAGAGGGAGTTCTTGATACTATGCCAATAGCTCTCTCTCTCTCTCTCTCGTCTCTCTCTCTCTCCTCTCTCCTCTCTCTCTCTCATCTCTTCTCTCTCACTCTCTCTCTCTCTCTCTCTCTCTCTCTCTCTCTCTCTCTTCTCTCATCTCTCTACTCTCTCTCTCTCTCTCTCTCTCTCTAATTCCCTAATTGTGCTTACGGGAAAGAACCTAAAGCTCGTATCTTCCCGTCTACTGATCGGTTCCATTTTGTACTGAGTGATACTTATCATACGTGTCCTTAAAACTATGGATTTAGTTTCCAATTAGCACATACTCTTACACTAAAAAAAGCACTTCCTTACATCCTGCAAAGAAGTTTTCATACGGAGCTTCAAACTATGACCTCTAGTTCTAGTGCCAGCCATATCAAAATATCGATCCCTATCCACTCTGCCATAACCATGAAGGAATTTAAAAACTGTCACCATATCCCTCCCTCAATCTTCTAGCTTCGAGTGATGGTAAGTCTAATTCCCTCAGCCTTTTATCATAACTGGGCTTGCGTCTTTCTGGCGCCAGATTCGTGGCATGTCTTTGAACTTTTTTCAAGCTTAGCTAAGTGTTTATTCAAGTGCGGATTCCAAAAGGGGGCTGCATATTCAAGTTTTGGCCTCACATAGGTTACATAAATATTTCTGAACATTTCCTTGTCCATGTGATTGAAGGCTACCCTTACATTTGTGTGTGTGTATCAATTGCTCATTTCAATTATTGAATGCTTTGTACTCTTTGTATCGTCCCGTGTGGTCTAGTAGTTAGGATACGCAGCTCTTACCCGCGAGGCCCGAGTTCGATTCCCGACACGGGAA